TACTATCAGAATAATAATAATGCTATTACTTCATGATGTTATTCTGATAATTTACATAGTAAGCTATCACATAAAGCCTTTAGCACAGTGTCTAGCAACACAAATATGCAGAAAATATTATCCACAAAAAGTCAGCTGTAAAAAATTATTTACTTTCCCCTTAATTTCCAGAAGACATAAATTTGTTCCAAATCATTAAGAGACATTTTTATAACGACTTTATGCTCACAAATATGATAGAAGTTCACAGTGAAGGACTGATCTGAGTTGGGGTGTCTGCTTTGTCATTACCATCCGGATAAACGTGAACAGATTATTTCCATTTTCTGAGCTGGATATTCCTCATCTAATGATGATCATTATCATAACAAGCCTTTATATTACTCTTCCTATGCATCAGGCAGTATTTGAAGAGTTTTTCATTGTATTTGCCTGTTTAATCCTCACATCAACTATATAAGGAAAGTACTACGAGTTTACTGATGAGGAAACGGATTATCAAGGAAGTAGCGGATCAAAGATTTGAAGCCAGGCAGTCTGACATCAGAATCCGTGCTCTTAATTAACTACCATGTTACACTACCTATATAGAGGTAGTTATGGGGAATAAATGAGATGCAATAAAATAATTTAAAAACAACAAAATAACATGTGCCTGTCTTTCTACGTAGTATATAGAAGATTCTCAGGCACCGTTTATTTTCTTGCCTTTCTAAGAAAAACATAAAGATCATAAATTAGGCCCTCAATAACCTTTATTTGCTTGCAACATTTTGGTATGAATTCATATTTATAAGGTTTATAGGGCATTTTTCTTAGAAGCCCAGGCCTCTATGAATAAATATGCTGTCCCTTAAAAAGTACAAAAAATGCTAACTTTCCCTTTATTTTTGTCTTAAATTTCTTTTTCTCTTCAAATTTTATGTCCCAATTTGAAACCTTTCAAAAATGTCAAAAAAAAAAATTATACAGGTGGGAGGAACTCTGAAACTTTCTTTTCTTCTATCTGAAAATGAATTATTAATAAAATATAAACTATAAAGCTGCATAAAACTATGCTATTTTCAACAGATTCAGGATATCTTTATATAGCCGTGGCTTTTAAATGGTCAAAAAAAGTTTCCCATTTTAGGAAAGTACACATTATTTGTGGTATAATTTGCTTGATGCCAGGTATGAGTCCTCCGGTCTATTAGAGAATAGTGAGCTGTATTTTTTCAACAAAACTTTTAAATGCACTAACCTGTCCAGGAAAAATTTAAGCAATAAAAGACTAATATGAAAAGGCTGAAATACCAATGTTCTCACCATGTGACTGAACTGGTCTGTGAGGAAAGGGATCCAGCTGTTTTCTAAAAACTTCTGAAGTCAAAAGGAGAACTCGATTCATGAGCTCATTAACCTAAACATACACATAACACACATTCACATTTAAGTAAATTTATATTTTAACAAACCTCCTTTAGCTAAATTCTGTAACTGTTTTCTCTAAGCCTCTTATAAACCCAGCTCTGAAATACATAAGGATGCCCATTTTGCTAGATTGAATCCTGACTGCTTTAACAAAGAGTAAAGGCATAGCTAAACAGCAATCATTAAATTCAACGGTGTCTGCCTCCCTAGCCCTGATTTTATCTGCCTCTGCTTCTGCATTTGGCAGCTCTTGCAGGTCTGGTCTTCATACGTTGCCTGAACCATTGCTGTAGTTTCTTATCTCCCCCTGTGGCTCTTCCTCAAGCCATCCTCCACATCAGCTATCAATTGGATCATGGCATTTCCTTACTCAAACAAAACACTTCAGTCTTCTTGGTAAGGCATGATTTAGTTCCTGACTATCCTTTTAGTTAGTTTTCCTCATAAACTCTCAACTTGACCAGCCATTCCACCCTTGCACCAACACCGCAATGTTCCCCCAAATGGAATGCCCTCCCTTCTTTACCGAACCTTGTGACTTTTAAAGAATTTATTCATCTTTCGTGACTCAGCTAACAGGCTCTGTCCTCCGGGAAGCTTTCTTGGACCTTAGGTTTCTCTTTTGTGTCATTCTGACAGCCTCTACATTTTTTCAACACATTTTTCTCCTCCACTAGACTGTGTGCCCTTTGATTGAAGGTCAGTTGTTTTAATTGCTTTTTGTTTGCCTGAGGCTTACTATGGTGCCTCTAACATAGTAGGCACTAAATAGATGTCTAAACATGAATGCATTAAAAAAAGGTTATACCTCCAGCTAACTACAGGTCACGTGCACATGCAATAACAACACGACTAAAAAATCCATACCTGATTAGATAAATAATCCAAGGAAACTTGTTGTTCATCCATCATATTTCTTAGTAGTTTTTTGGTACTTCGTGTGTAGGAAACAATAGAATTTTGCAAATTTCCTTAATCATAACAAAAAGCGTCTGCTAAATATTATATTGTTATAAAAAAATGATTACAGTGAAAA